CATAGAAAAAATGTTATAGTTTTAATTTTTATGAAGAAAAAGAAAATACAAAACTTCAAATAAATTCACTTGGTATTGTTTGTTTGAATCTTCCCATTTATGTTTAGGATTGCGATTGATCACTCTCTTATTGCCATATGTGCATACTGTGTGTATTGCCTCGATATAGCCTTAATTCAATGGGAAGATTCAAACAAACAATACCAAGTGAATTCAAACTTCACGCCATTGCAAAAGCAAGTGGCTATCAGGACTCAGTAACTGAATAGATAACGCGATGGCGTTTGTTTCGAACGTTACTGGGTGAATGAACATCATTGAACAGAATGAACATCAACTCTCAGTTTCAGGTACAACCAGCTGACGAGTCCCAAATAGGACGAAACTAGCATCCTGAATTCCACTGCTAGCCACTATCCATCTTTTCTTATAAAACTTTAAATAGTTCATTATGAAAATGAATTCCATCACAAGTTGTTTATCAATGTTTTTTTTCTTTCCAAATTATCCATCTATGCCCTTTAGGTATATTGTAAATGATATTCAAATCCTAACATTTAAAACTACCGCTTAATCACTTGAAAACCAAAAAAAAGAGAAACAACAACAGAGACACCAAGGAATTTCATTTTTTTTATTGCAAAGATAAACATTTCCATCTGCTTACAATTTACAATAGAAAGAACTTTAATCTTTTTCCTTTAGGCAGATTGTTTAATCCGAATAATTAAAAGAAAGAAGACTGTAAAGAAGATGGTCAATTTATTCATATTGTGGTGTGGTCTACTTATATTCACATAAGTAGTATATGATGATAGTCAAACATAGAATGTATTTTGGCAGAAGACCGATAAGGAATGAAAAGGAATAAAAATGCATGAACAATGAAATCAGAGAGGACAGACTGATATTTGTAGAAGGAACAGTTATATTTTGTAAATTAATTGTTGACTTTATGGTTATCAGAATTTAGTGAGATAGTCTGTAATTTGTGCTTAAATACATTCGATTGTCCCCATTGGTGTTCTTGTTCACTACAATATAAGTAAACGATAACTTCTGCTTTGAAAGATAAGTTCAAAAGATAATCTGCTATAAAATTTACTTCGTATTGTTTGTTTGGATCTTCTCATTAATGTTTTCAGGACTGCAACTAGTCAGTCTCTTATTGGCATATATGCATACTGTGCGTATTACCTCGATATAGCCTTAGTTCACAAGCATAGTAAGCAGAGATGAATAGTGTCTAGCAGTGGAATCCAGTGTGATGCGCGTTTCGTCCTATCTGGGATTCGTCAGCTGGATGTACCTACATCTGAGAGTTGATGTTCACTGTGGGACTCGAACCCAGTACCTCTGGTTATAGTTTAAAGTTTTTCGCACTATAGGTCTACTAAATGTCTGAAAAAATTACTCTCATTACAATCTGATGTCATCTATATGTGAATATTCAACAATCATAGAGTAGTGAATTAAATGTTTTTACTTCATTTGAGATCCAAGATCTCTTTTTATAGACTTAATCAATAATTTGTAGGTATTAAAGTGAATGCATTGCAGTTATACTATTGAGTAACTTAGTTACAATGAGCTCTGCCAAATTCTAATCTTTTGAATTCTTCATCTCTCTCTATTTTTTTCTCTTTCCAAATTTATTTCACTGGATTGAACTCCTTTAATAGCATCTTCAAACCCTAATCTTTCACATTAACGCTTATACTCTTACTACTTCTACCACTATGGGATTTGGATAGACAAATTCATCTCTGTGCTAATGTGTTATGGCGAATCGAACGCCATCTTGTTCTTCACTCATCTACTGAGTCCTGATAGCCACTTTCCAAATAGGACGAAACGCGTGTCAAACTGGATTCCACTGCTAGCCACTATCCATATTTGCTTACAATGCTTGTCGATTATGGCAATATCGAGGCAATACAAGCACAGTATGCACATATGCCAATAAGAGACTGACCAGTTGCAGTCCTAAACATCATTGAGAAGATTCAAACAAACAATAATAAGTAAATTTTAGTGAAGGCCTTATTTCATTGGGAAAAAAACAATGAAATGCCAGATCATATCGGTATAGTCCATCGATAAGTTAAAATTTGACTTGATTCTATCAAGATAGATTTGTAGATTGTGTCTTGAGAACAGTTTTGTTGACATTTAGTTTTTACTTATCATTTTTGTTGAATGTTTACTGTAATGATTTGTTAGAGTAGGATGACTTAGAGTTTTCGTAATTCATATCATTTGTAAAACTTGGTGATTTGATATTAAAATGATTGTAGAAAGCTGATAGCAAGTCGTAGACAATAGGTTCTATTTTAGTTGTCACTCGCAAGTATAGGGCATCTACATTCTAAATGAGATTTTGTACAATCCCTCTCACTATGCTATCAAGGCTGTGACTGACCGAATGTAGAACCGCGATATATATATATATATATATATATATATATATATATTGTCATTGAGTTTTTAACATAGGTGCTTTATAATAAACGTGAATATAACTAACCGAAACTAGTGAATAATATCCTGGGTTCGAATCTCGCGGGGCGGTATCATGGATGCGCACTGCTGAGGAGTCCCACAATAGGACGAAACGGCCGTCCAGTGCTTCCAGGTTTTTCATTGTCGTCTAGATTCGATTGACTTATGATCTTAACTGTATCATAATATTTTGATTTATTTGGGTAACGTAATTTAGTAGAGGATAGTTTCCTCAATAATCAAGTTACTAAAGCCATTGTAATGGTATGAATGTATCCTAATCATAACAAAATTTGTAGAAACTGTGTTTTGATCGTGAATATTCACTGAAATAGGCACGATATATTTTTCCAGTGTCCCATGTTTTTTCGTTACTTTTACATATAATGGTAGATTTACTTCTAAAACAACTTCCAAAACCATTCTCGACCGTTTACATGGGGAATCAAGGCAGATGTTCAGGGTGTACATGTGTCAGTAAAGATTGATCAATTATTACCTTAAACACCATTTGAAGATATAAACCCTTAGAAATATTTCCTTAACCAGTTGAATAAGTTAGTAAATATCTGGCTTTAATGAATAAAACGTTTATTACTTATTGATTAGTATTAGCTTTATTCAATATTCTATTTTTGGTACAATAAAGAATTTTCATAGTTGATATCATGAGTCAATTGAAGCTAGAGTACCAAGGAGAACCTGAAAGCACTGGACTGGCGTTTTGTCCCATTATGGGACTCCTCAGCCGCGCGCATCCACGATCCCGCCTTGCGAGTGAGATTTGAAACCAGAACCTACCAGCTTCGCACCATAGCACTTAACCGATAGACCAGTGTTTTAATGTCTAAGTTCAACTGATCCACGAAGTTGAGCAACCATTCACCAATTGTCTTCAGTGAGTTGATATCTCTACAACAGACGTGTTTGAACTCCACTGGTCACTGCTTCCCACTAGAACTCGAGGAAATACCTCATGGAGCCAGTAACTAATGAGCATATGATTATAGATCAGAAGGTGTTTTTGTGGATTTTTCAGTATTTTCATAGTTGAAAACAGCCGTCCAGTGCTTCCAGGTTTTCCATGGTGATCTAGCTTCAATTAACCAATGATTTCAACTATGAAAATACTGAAATATCCACAAAAACCCCTTTCAATATAGAATTCTCAACAAAACGTATTTCAGGAAGTTTCCGTTTCTTACTTATTGGTCGATTCTGACGATAAATATTGAGTAATCGCCAGTTAGGTATTAGCAGTTCAGTCAATCGATATCTGAATAATGTGCATTCTTTTCGCTGCATATTGTCAGCGACCACGTTATCTCTGATTGGGCTTTTTGTAACCTTTATAGTGAAAGGTTGTACACTTTTCAGAAACTCACCTAAATAGGTTGTGCGTTTAATAGCCATAATGTTATAGTAAAACAAACAAAATCAGATAACTTGTTGAAATATATAGATGATAGGAAAAGGTAGCCCAGATGTTTAAGCAGGCTGCTGTGATGTTCATCGTGATGACTACTACATCTTATTATATTAATAACAACACTAATATGCGACTAAATCAAACTGACTAGTCATAAATACGAAAAAAAATGCTTGTTTTAGACTTCAATCACAGTCACACTGTGAAATATATATGAATATGTCCCAAAAATATTCAACTTTTGTAGTACTTACTTAATTATTTTTTCTGGTTAGCGTTTTATTTCTAGCGAGTTGGTTTTCTACGGGATAGGAATCGCTAACCCTATGCCCAACCTTCCTCCTTTACCCAGGCTTGGGACCGGCAGTAACCCCCGGAGGATCTACAGGCGAAGCTAACTTTTGTTTCATTTATTCCTTACTTGATCAATAATTCTGAGTCAAAGTATAATACTCTCATATGTAATGAAAAATCTATAATATTGTAACATTTAACAACCGTTTGTAATCATATTAATAATAATTCCCTATCGCCAATCAAATTAAATTAATCTAATTGTTATGTTTATATTATTACAAATTAAGTTAGAGTAGATTAGAGAATAGAGAGAATAACTTTCTCCTCCTCCCCCCTTTCGCTTCCCAATTTTCTTTTCTAAACCAATGTTTTATAAATGCGTTTTTAGAGTTTTTTTTCTAACTAAGGATGAGAAACTATTTTGTTGTTGTTGTGAAGAATTAAATGGAGGATGGGGAGGGGAGATTAAAAGGATAGGACAGTTTTTTGTTTTGATTGTCTGTATATTTATTTGTCCGTTTATAAAGTTACTCTTCATTAGAAAATATTATGAGTTTACAAAATAGGAACGAATGAGAAACAAAATACCTAAGATACAATAGAGTGTGGGGGTTTTTTGTAGGGGGGGGGGAGGGGAGGCGGTGTTGGAAGATTAAACTATACAAATTAAAAATAATTAATCTAATCCTATTATGTAATATGTTACTCACTGTTCAAAATGAAATATCAAAAAAAAAATATAGTTTTAATTTCTAAGGTAATATCTAAATGAATGGTGATGCCAAATATTTATAATATGGAATCTAATAATCCAACACTTTGTTCCCAAGTTAATCAACCAACAAATGGACAAATTGAATTAAACTATCATAATCATAATCATAATAATAATGGTGACATTACCCATGAAAATACTCCCAGTAACATTTATACCCATTTAGGATTTGCATTACATAATCCTTTAATTAATCAATCCTTACAACATCCAACGACATCGATTGGGAATTCAACGAATCATTCATTTCAATCTTTGATAAATGAGAATCATATTGGAAGAAATGTTGACATTACAAATGATCTAATAAAATTGACAAATCTATCAACAGGAGATTTATATTGTTCAGATAATCAATTGGAAAATGTAACCTTTACGTCAAGTTTTGTTCCGTCAAATAATGAAACAGTCCATTCGAACATACAACAAGATCCAAGTCAAAGTTATACTTATTCATATAAGACTAATAATAATAATGAATCAGTAATGGGATTATCAGACCTTAAATACTTTACAAGTTTAAATAATGAAGAAAATGAAAGACGATTCAAAGATGATGTCAAAGAATCAGTATGTATTTACACTGAAGCACCAAGTACCATGACAACAATGACAAATAATATAAATGAAACTTCATTTATCCCATTATTTGATCCAATTGTTTGGAATTCAACTCATTGGAAACAATTTGCAACCATAGCACAGAATTCATGTCATGATACTATAACGGATCCATTGATATACAATCAGATGGCTGGAATCCATAAAACTAATCTCACTAATTTTTGTCCTATGGATAAAACAACAAGTGATTTATCTACTTCTTTGACAAGATCTAATTTATCCATTTCATATCCATTAGATACTTATAACCATTTGACTACATTGACTTCATCAAATTTTACTGATTCAAATGTGTTCAATACTCAATTATCAAGTTACTTAACAAAAAATTCTAGAAATCTAAATGAGTGTAGTAGTGGTAATGGAAGTAAATTTCCGTTACTACCATCTTTATTGACTGACTGTTCAAGTTCTTCAACTTCAATGACAACCGTCAGTTCTGAATCAACATTAAAATATCATTCAAATGATTATGATCATCAAAATTTGTTTCAATACAATCCTTCATCTGATAGTACATTGACACAGTTCTACAATAATTGTAATGCAAATAATTCATTACGAAAACTTTATCATGAACAAAAGACATATAGTACTAATAACAACAATAGTAGTCTTAATGGTCCAAACTCTATAGCCTTTAATGGTAATAATAACCCTAACCAAATGTGTATCGTAAAGAATAATTTTAATCAACAGTTCAATGTTTCAAAGTCAATCAATCCAATGTTCAATCATTCAGAAGAAGAATCTAATAGTCATAGAGAAATGGACAAACTTGGGGGTAATTAGTCTTAATCTAATATTTTAATGTTTGTATCTGTTGAACATTTTATGTTGTCTGAATAGGATAAGAAAGGGTTTTTGTGGATATTTCAATATTTTCATAGCTGAAATCATGAGTCAATTGAAGCTAGACCACCATGGAAAACCTGGAATCAGTGGACGGCCAAATCGTCCTATTGTGGGATTCCTCAGCAGCGCGCATCCACGACCCCGCACCCGCGAGATTCAAACCCAAGACCAACCGGCTTCGCGCCGGAGCACTTAACCTATAAACCACTGAGCCGTCATCCAACGATGTTAATGTCTAACTTCAAATGATCCAGTGCTTCCAGGTTTTACATGGTGGTCTATCTTGAATTGATTCATGATTTCAACTATGAATAGGATAAGTTATTTAAATATCTATCTTAGTATCTGACTGCCTGAAAACATATACCATTAAAACAAATTTAGGCTATACTGTTGGTGACATTGTAACATAATCGATAGTAGCTTCTATACACCAAGGGCTAGATATGCATAAAACTGATAACTACTTAGTAAACAATCAGGGTTACAATAATAATCCTTCAGTTCTATATGTACATGTAGGTTCATCGCAAGTTGATCGTTGAAGTAAAGGCAAATATATCTGGAACTTCTTTGTCAAATATTTATCTAAACACACCATAGCAAACTTCTATATTATTTCAGTTGGAGTATAATGTGATGGACAAGTGTTGTTTTGAATATTGTTGCTGTTAACTAAGTTAGTACGAAAGTATTTTCTATCCTTCATTGGGATCACTTATGGATAATGTAACTTGACATATCTGTTTCGTTATCGTTGGTAACTTTGCAGATATAAACGTTTCAATCACACATTTTAACGAATATAGTAGCTGGTAGGTCATGGGTTCGAATCTTGCGGGTGCGGGATCGTGGATGCGCACTTCTGAGGAGTCCCATAATAGGACGAAACGGCCATTAAATCGATACGTTAAGTACCTAATTCGAAATAGACATGTTGGGATTTTAAGTTTAATCTATAAAAGATGAAGTCGTCAGTCTTGGATGTAACAAAGTACCTTTATCAGTTATGTCAGACAATGATCATGTACTGAAAAAAATCTGGAAAACAAAAACTATCAAATTTCTGTCCACTGACTGAATGATAAGATAGCTAACTCAAAATTTAAAGCTTCTATATTCTCATAGTTGAAATAATGAGTCATTTGAAGCTAGATCACCATGGAAAACCTAGAAGCACTGGACGGCCAACTCGTCCTATTGTGGGACTCACTACTCAGCAGTGTGCATCCACGATCCCGTAAATTAATTCTTGATGTTATATATTCATCATTTGAATCTATTCCTAGTATGTCAATTATGTTATAAAGTTCAAGTTACCCGTCAAAAACTAGCGAAATAGTCATAAACATATCAATTGTAAACATCAGAATTTGAATAAGTTAACATCATTTAATGTCAAAGAAATAATCTTAACACTAAATTGTATGATTTGATATAGATCTGTCTATGGAATATGTAACTAGGCTAATGTTTAACCATTCTCTAGAAAAACAAAATATCGATTTTTCTAAAATATTGATTTCAAATATTGATCAGTCAGTGTTCAGATATAAAAATAATTTTGGAACAAAAACTGTGAAATTATTCAATTCATTTGGTATTGTTGTTTACTTGAATTTTCCCATTGATGTTTAAGACTGTAATTGATCAGTCCTAAATATCAGTGAGAAGATTCAAGTAAACAAACAATACCAAATGAATTTAAACTTCACCCCATTGAACAAACAAGTGACTATCAGGACTCAGTAGCTGAGTGGATATGCGATGGCATTTGAAGCGAACAGTACCGGGTTCAAGTCCAAGAATGAACTAAACTTATCTTAAAGATGTATTCAATTCATTTGAAATGTTCCTAACCATAAAGGAAAACACTCTCTAATGTTTCAGTTATGTTATCAACTGTAGGGTTGAAACATTCTTTTTTACTTTTGTTATATCTCATCATCAGTATGCACTTGAGTGAAAGGTCATCTTTTAAATTCAGTATCCGTGTAAACATTTCTTATTTTTGTATTTAAGACGGGTTTGTAATGAAGTTATTCCTTTCATGACTAAGAAAGATTTACCAATTAAGATAAATTCAAAAAATTCTCTGTGTAATTGTATAGCGAAAAGTTGTAAATGCTGCTAACGATTTTTTGGTTGAATAATATGTGTCAGAAGGGGGGCTTTGTGGGGTTGGAATCTCCATAAAACCCACCTTTTGATAATAATCATATCCCTACTAGTGACTGATTTCAAGAGGTATTTCCTGCAGTTCTAGTGAGAAGCAGTGACCAGTGGAGTTCAACCAGGTCTATTGTGAGATAGTAACTCGATGAAGACAATGATAGACGATTTCTCAATTTCGTGGATTGGTTGAAGTTAGACATTGACACCATTGGATGCCGGCGCAATGATTCTAGAGGTTAAGCTCTCGCGCGCGAGACTGATAGATCTTGGGTTCAAATCTCGCGAGTGCGCGACCGTGGACGTGCATTGTTGAGGAGTTCCACTATGGTATGAAACGGCTTTTCAGTGCTTCCAGGTTTCCCTTGATGATCTGGCTTCAATTGAATCATGATTTCAATTATGAATAATATTGACCATCTCAATGTAGTCAATTATATCTAACTTGCAAAAGAGAAGATAACATTTCAGTAAAAACTTGCTACTTATAATATTATCATTTTATACGTAAGTGCTTCATTTGTGCTTATGAAACCACTAATGAAGAATTTTCTAATTCAGTGGGTATTTTCTTAGTGTTTGAAGCTTTACTGATTTCTTAGCTGTAGTCATACACTGAACATCTGGATCCATTGTATAATCAATTCTAAGCTGTATTCTAAAACCAAGGACTGTTATGTCATTAGTAATGATAGTTTATACCTTGAAAAACAGCACAAAGTTACCAACTTATTATTCATCAAATTAAAAAAGGATTCTACTATGTGAAATTTGTGGAGTTTCTAAAGCGACCAATGAGAATGATAAAAATTTTGGAAAAAGACTTTTGAAAAACTTCAATGGTAATCATGCTCTTTTATATTGAACCCATGGCAAAATGTGAACCATTATATGGCCTAGAAGCATAGAAATAATAAGTCAATAAAGTTAATTCATGTCTTATAACTAAATCTTTTTGATTAACAAACTTACATATTTTCTAAAAGGTAGCTTACATGTATAAAACTTAATGACTATGAGTCCTGTTGATAAACCTGATAAGTTCAATCATTACTAGAAAGTTTTTCCTAGTTTTATTATTATTATTATTATTATTAGCATGATTCAATATTATAGTTTTGGTACAATATGGAACTCTCAACATAAAGTATTTCAACCAGTTTTCGTTTCTTACTTCTTGGTCGATCCCGACGATAAATATTGAGTAATCGCCAGTTAGGTGTTAGCAGTTCAGTTAATCGACATCTGAATAATATTCATTCTTTTCGTCACATATTGCCAGCAACTACGATATCTCTGAATGGGTATTTTGTAACTTATACAACGGAAGGTTGTAAATTTTACACAAACGCATTTGAATACAGATCAGTAGGAGTTTTGTGAAGATTGTTGTGGCGTAAATCTGATTCCTTTTTGATCGTATGAATGATTGTTTGTTGTCAAAATATACGTACTGTCTATCCTCGTATGTAATAAATGACTTTATCCGCGTTGGTGAACAACTTAGTTAAATACGTCAAATACGAGAATGGATGTAGTATACATATAATTTCTACACTTTTTAATCTGGCCATGGAATCAGAGCGATGAAGCGAACGGAAGCGAGAGTGACATGCATGAGAGATGGCTGGGAAGCCAACTCGATTTAAGCAAGCGTTAATCAACATTTATAGTCAGACAAAAATGAGTGACAGACATATGATGAATAAGATACGAAGTGTACACATATATGCTCATATAAAAGTGTAGTCAAGGTTAATAAGCAAATGATTAACAAGATCAAAATATGACTCAAAATGGATAGCGAATTAGCTTGGCCAGCAACTAGAATAAAGTATATTGGCTTAACATATAAACTGATACTACAAGATTTTATTATTTTCATAATTAAAATCATTAGTCGTGGATGCGCACTACTGAGTCCCATAATAGGACGGAACGGCCGTACAGTGCTTCCAGGTTTTCCATGGTGGTCTAGCTTCAATTGACTCATGATTATAATAACAATATCTTAATCAAATATGAATATAACAGATAGGTACGTGGATGATTTTAATCATAGTTGAACATTTTAACGAAATCATATATTTCGGTAGTGAATACTTCAATTCTAAAACAACCGCGACTCAATAAAAAACAATCAAATTTATTATTTGCTAAAGCAATACATATTTCTATAATCATAATGTATATGTAATTCAAATTTGATTGTAGAGTTAATATACAACTAGTATGTAATTTAACCAGCCCCCAAATGCCCTGGTACGGTCGAGAGTGGGAATAGTTCGCTCTCCCTCTCGAAATGCCCTCACATGGCCACGCGTATATAGCCTCTGTCAGGGACGTCCTACTCACTGCCTTCTCGTGGCATTACTGTTGTTTAAGAAATTGAGAGGACGAAAAGCGAATATCCGGCGATTTAACCGGGTTGGTGGACAAGGAGGGTTCACCTAGGGGAGTTGGAAAACCCTGATTTCAAACCAATGGTGCACATGGGCTCCAGTATCCTGAGGGAACAAATAGCGTATGAATCAATCGTTAGTCACCGGCCACCATGAGACGGCATCTCTTCACTATGCTTCACTGCCTTGTAGATCAGATCTTAAGGTTAAAGTTTCGGGGTGTGGCCCTCTAAGAAAATCACCGGCTTCAGTTTGGGCACATGGACAGTATCACAGCCCTCAAATGAGATTTGTGAGGCGCGTATATATCTTGTTCACCTTTGTACCAATATTTATGTGTTTAAATAAAATAAAT